TTTTCAAAAAAAGTACCAAAATCATTTCCAGGATTCCGATAGTCACCATTGGAACACTAAGTTTTTGGACTCACAACAATATTTTGATTTGCTATATTACTATTGGATGAAAGTAAGCTGATTCCAGAACGATCCTCGCAAAATTAATCGGATGATGGCAAATGACGTACACATCCATAAATAGGTGGTGAATAATATTGCCATAAAAGGAAAAACACAAATACGTTGTAACGTTGCTGCATGGGGTATGAGGGAAGTGCGACAAACACATCATTATGCATATGTAAACTTCAAAAAGGGATAGACAGGAAATAGAAATCCTCACTCGGCCATAGTCAAGTAGCAACATAGAGCAATGCCATGGTGATGAGTCGTGACACTGACATAGCTGTCTTCCTAGCAGTTAAGGGTCTAACCCATAATATAATTGAGGTTCTTACCGTCAAAACATTGTATGGGATAGTTACATAATAAGCCGCCATCCACGTAGACATCAAGATTACTCTCGTTGTGATAGTAAACACATTGAAACAGACCTGTAGAAAATACGCTGTCGTTAGTTTATCTGATGGTGGTGATCAAAAGTATGCTTATTAAATTTCATGTGGTCTTATACCATGGAACCATGTACGTGTATTTATATCATGGAAGGTACTAGTAGTAGGTACTAGTACCTTTCATGATTGAACCCAGGGGTGGTATTCCAAGTCAGACCTGGTACCCATGCTGAAGTACATGTATAGTATTTCAAAAAAAAGCCTCTAAACACATACTTATTTGTGTGAAATTATACCCCTTTTGCAGTGCAGAAACGTAAAATAGATACCCTATATACATACTAAAATCATACTGTTTCCAAGTTGAGGTAACATGAATTCATGAGATTCCCTTTTTTCACGCTAAACACGGTACATGTGTATACGCGTCAAATAACTAAATAACACCCCTTTGACGAGTTTTTTACTTCAGCTTGCGTACCATATTTTATTCAGAGACCCTCCCCCCTGGATTTTGAAAAAATGTAACGAATTCTCCCCTCTGGCAATTCAAATATTTACATTCGTTCACTGGGCGTACTATGAACTAGTATTTTAATTTTGCTGGAACATCTAAAATTTACTCTAAATACACAACCTGCCTGAAACTGTAACGCTGAAACAACGTGTAATGTATAAAAGAGGGAAATGACTTATACCTTGTACCATGTTGTTTTGTATCGCGCAGTATCAATATATTGCGCATCAGTGGCCGTGAAGTAAGCGTTTGCATTAAAGCGCGGTAGTCGTCGCGCTGCGCATGTTCGACATTTGTGTTGATAAACATTGATTTTCCCACAATCCAATGCGCTCTTCAAATGGAAATCACAAGTATGAGGTTTGACATGGACGCGACTTGCACTGATTACCGCCAGTGACTCCTTCGATACCTTCCAATCACATGAAAATTACCTAATTAAAGCTTGGAAACGTGTCAGTACGTACTCGTTGATCTGCGCAACAGTCAAAGTCGCTATCTTTGTTTATATAAGACCCATATATCTCGCACATGCGCAGCGCGACAACTACCGCGCTTTAAATCTAAATAAATCGTGGGACCCATATCGAACGCGAAGTCGTGCGACAAATCACAGTCCCTATACAGTCTATAGAGGAACTGTGGACAAATGTTGAGCTGTAAACATGATACAACTGATTGCGCAGTAGGTAAGCTTCACATACCTGGTATGGACATAGACATTCTGACCGCCAATCTTATTGGCATATTTGGCGTTGTTTTCACGTGACAGTACTCTGCGTCCATTCTGTTCACATTGGTCACGACAATACACAACTCTTTCCCATAACTGGGTATAAAAGGCGCATTTATATATTTTGTTAGAAAATTAGGTATTATTACATAGTATGATACAGCATTAAAATCCGATGTAAGTAAATTGGAGCCTCATACCTACATCGGATTTTAATCAGATTGACACAAATTATGTGTATTAATGGTATGTTTTTCGAAGTGCAAAATACGTGTATACCTTTACGGTGTTTTATGTGATCGACATTAAAAATGTACTCAGGTAAAAAAAATAAAGGGTGGTTGTCGCCGGACCTCGTCGTGTTCGATAATAGTTTCATGCGATATATACAACGCGTTTGTTTACACGAAGTTCGAACACGCGCTGCGTGACGAACATTGTCCTCTATTGGAACGATTCCCGGGGAAATCTCAATAATTTATATCTGCCGAAGTATGCAAGTGGTGTCAAAACACGTGACTATTATATTACACGGAAACCGTTGTTTTGATCTGTAGTCATGCATCAATGAAAAACAAATATGTTTCTGAGAGATTTAATAAAATTTAAATGAAAACGACAACACGACCAAATTCAGTTGTCGTTTTAAATTAAATTGCTTTTAACCACGTATTTTGCTGTCACAAATGTGCTCAAACGAAAGGTGTATGCCGAGGATTTCTGACTACAATCATGAAGTATAATCAAGAAATACGGCGAGGAATGAATAATGTTTCTTGGTCTACCCTTTACTCTCCTATTATTAACTGAAATAATATACAACTTCTGATTTTGACATGATATTACGGAATACCAATTATATTAAAAGTTATGAAATCACGCGAATAATTCCTAATTTTAATTGCTCTGAATAAATCGTAATTTACATGTAAAATGACACTCACTTCCTTGAAAGTCAGACCCCGCTTACTAGTTTGTTCATGTAACCTCATTCCAAACCAATGCAATAATTTCTTGCCTGGGTTCCATCCATAGTGCCTGATGACGTTTGGAATTACACTGCAGTCTCCACACGAATGATCTGAATCAAACTTTACTACGTCGTCGTTTACCACGCCCTCTTGTGGCGGTTTATAACTGCGCGGTCCTCTTGTTTTTTCGTGTGTTTTTTTTTTTGATCCGCGAGAAGAAACTCTCCCTCGCGCGGTTATCTTACCTAGAAAAATACTTGACAGATCCTGGTTCAAAAACTTCTTTACGTCATTATATCCATAATCCACGGCCAGGCAGCAGTCATAGCACCCGCACTCGTCCCAGATAGTCGGCGGATGTTCTTCCACACTCCGACGTCATCAAGCACCTATAGATGGTCAATGAACTAACGCTAATGTTTGTGGAGGTGTTGTATCACTATTGTGCATTTTTTGTCTCGTACCACTAAGAATTAGTCTTTGCTAAACTAACTCACCTGTATTGCACCAGAGTACGCCAGACCTTTATTTCCACCGCCTTCGAAAACAAGATTTTCAAATTCAAATGGATACTCATAATTTTCTATTTCAATGTCGTGAAGAGAACTCCTATCAGAGTATCAACTCGTATCAGAACACGTCGCGTTGGACTTCAGCGATAAACCCGACCCTGTCAGATTGTTTTTCACACTCAGTGTTGGCTTTTTCGCCGGTTTTCCTGACTTTCTTGCATTCTTTTCAAGTACTTCGGCGATGCTTTGTTGGGCGGTTTCGAGAAGATCGTCTACTTCATCGATGTCGGTGTTTTGCTCTATCGAGTTCAAGTTCTGCGGTGATATCTTGGTCGATTGCTTGGCTCCCATGCTGTTGTCGCCCAAGCCAAATACTGTTACGGTGCTCCTGTCATTTGTAGACGTCGGTACCGCGGAACACTAGTTATTTCGCCTGACTACACACTCCTGACAGAGTTTTGTTCGCTTTCGTTTTTTGTTGTGCAACACAAGATGTAAACAATGAAGATTCGGTTTCACGTGATGTATACCGATTCGTATGTCATTTATTTACCATTATTATGCAAATTTCCCAAATTCTCCAGCGTACGACAATGCATCACTGCTACCAGATTTCAATTGTCTTGAATTCACTTTAAAAAAATATACAATAATCGACGGAAATGGAGAACGGCAACAAAGATTACACCCAATCGCGACAATGTTACTGTTTTGTGCCACCACCGGTTGAAACCATGAGATTGTAAATGTGTTTCCATGGCTTCCAGTTGAAGTTACGAGTATTACTTGAGTTTCCCGGTAGTGAATATACGCTCAGAGATACACATGTGTTAACGAGAGAGGGCGCTCATCACTTTTACTGAGCTACTCGCATCTTCCTGTAAAACACGTTATGCTGTCGTACACAGTACTGGTAAATTAAAGGGCGACGGTCGTCGTGCCGCGTCCTGTTCGATATGGGAATCATAGCGACGTATACAACGCCTATAAAATACATTGTTTATTTACAGGAAATTCGAACACGCGCTGCACGACGACTACCGCGCTTTAATGCGAACGCGCACTTCACGGCGACTGATGCGCATCATAATGAATGTTGCATTATATTCATGATCGGTAAATCTTGTTTCAAAAGTTAAACATCAAAATATTATCGACCTTTTATACAACTTTGGGGGAAAACCTTTTAGTTTAGTTTTTTTCGGATCACATAATTTCAGTTCTAGAAAAACACGGTATTAGAAATCAAACAGTCTTGTTCACTGCAAGCATTTATTGCTAAGATGCAAGTTATTAGCAGAAAAGACACCATTCTATACTTGGTTCTACACTAGAATCTTTATTTGCTGGTTCAAAAGAATTGTAACATGGAACTGAACCAAAATACAGTATTTTTGGTGTTGCAAAAAGTGCCTACTTAAAAACTGTGTGCCGAGAACTCGGAGGAACTTTAAACAAGGTTGCCACAACCTTTTATACACTACCGTATTATAAATTCTTCAACTAACAGAACACGTATATATAAAAATAAATTTATGCCCAATCGTTTGCCCCATACAAAACATCAAATAAAAATAATTGCATCTAAATGTAGTTTTGATGACAGTGAAAACTAACAAACGGATATACCATTATTTAACGGGGGGGTGCACACTCCTATAGCCGGTCTGGAATTATATTCTCAGCATGTGATCTGAGCTGTAAGGTAGCACCAACAATTTGTGATTGTAATTTTTTTAAGCGTATTCCGGTTATGAATAACAGAGTAACATGTATATGTTGGTCAATATAATTTTATAAGAATGTCTTTCCTTCCAATGGCTGGATTTAGACCAATCACACGAATGTGAAGGTATGAACCACCGAGTCGCACAAGCAACAGACAAAATACACACATGTATGCTCAAATAAATGATTGCATAAATAAATGAATAAAATACAGATTATCGCAGTGAAATAAATATATATATATATATATATATATCAAGCAAATAAATATATTGTAATATACCCTACAACTCAATTGAAAAATGTTATTATTGGATACTAAAAGGGCTGTAACATATTTTAACACTTTCTCTGTCAACTAGGCAAAATTAAATAATGCGGCTAGAGAATATGAGAGTTAAGTAGGTTCACAGGAAGGTAAAATTCAGCAGTGATCATGGTTGTAATGTCTAAGCAAACTCAACACAGGCATTAAAATGCACTAGCCTTGACCTAGAACTTGACTGAACCCAGCATCAACAAGACAACCTATTGTAAACACATCACCTTTCTGCAACACATTATTTTTTCAGTCTTTTGTGGGTATCCATGAAGGCATTCAGCAGGCGATTGTAAATCGCTTTAATTAATCCACACCATGAAATAATGCTACTTACAAAGTAGATGTTGTGAGTATGAGCATATAAGCGTAGTAAAGGGTGGTGTATGAAATTACGTATATGAGCGATTACAAATGATACTGCTATTATATCTGGTAAGTCAATGAAACATAACATTATTCATTAGAGGTACCGGCTTGTCAATAGTGACGACCTGGTAGGGTTAGTTGGTCAGTGGTAACAATACATCTTATCATTAATGTGGAATGGGTTGACCATTATAAGTATACCCCCCAAGTACATGTCAGCAAACCTGTCTTTCTGTATACGTGATGCTGCCAAAATGTAAAACTAAAACAATGCTTGCATGTCTATGGATTAGATTCGTTGGGGTCTGAAAAAAACTGGAACTGAACGCATACAAAACGTATATTACAAAATTCTTTAATGCTGGTAGCAATGAAAATAAAAGAGTCGCATTATATTTGACTAGATTTGCCCAAAGTGTTTCGGTGATCATCATAAAAAAAACATACTAGAGTTAGCAAGAAGGCATTTTTTTTTCACTCACACATGTTGGGATAAAGTCAAATTACTGTAAAAGATGATAAAATTGCCCTAATGTCTTTGCATTGTTCCATCAAGTGATGGGTAAGACCTGAAAAGGTAATAAATGGTGTTTAAAGATCAGCTACTAAGCCCAAAATGTCCGCCAGACGGCCATTTCAGTTGATTGAAGGAGTGATGCCATCTTGCCATTGCACTTCAATACCAGGCCATTTGGTTTGTAGACACGTCTTAATTGGTGTACTGTCTGTCACACATTTTATCTCGCTAGGATCATAAATATTTGTCGTACCTTCGATGTAAACCACCTGGGAATTGAAAAATAGAAAATGATTTCAGTTAATCAATATTATCACACACTCAGTGTTGGGATATGCCTTATATCAAGGCTTGTAATTTTTACATGTCACTGTTTGGAGAGTTTAGGACGTTGTCTAGCTTATATCAACCACTGGCGGTGCAGTTGCAAGCACAGAATATAATCTATTAAAAGTTTATATAAACAACATTCCCAGAACTTGATTTTTCCATCCCTGATTTAGCATAAAGTGAATCGGAAGCATTATGCATTTTGTTAAACAAAATTTGCTTTATATTTAAAAGTCTGTGCATTAATTTAAGGTATAGTGCAATATTTGAAATAATTGCTGTTATAGAAAAAATATAAGTCTGGAAAGTATGTGTGACCTTTAGGGGTCAAGCATAACAACTGGGTAATATTTGAAAGATTTTATATAATCACTTACTTTTCTTGACTGTGACGATCTTTTAAGGCCGTTGTAATGATATATTAAGAAATCATCTGGATAAGGACTCTTTGGCTGCAGTGAAAAATAATATTACAAGGTTTTTTTTTATTTATTAAAGCTGTATCTATATGTGGGTCACAAAATACTTGCCAAGAACCAAATATTATCAAGCGCTTCCCTAGATTATTTTAAAACAAGTTATCAGTATCTTTTAACAGGGATTCATCAAGTCAAAAGTTTGCATAAGAGATACAATGTGTATGATGATTAACTCATAAAAGATAACCACACTGTGTTCAAATAGTTCGCAATGCACACCAGATGTTAAGTTCTTCCAGATTAATGAAGATCAGATAATTCTTGTCCGAAGGATAATAAATTTTATTTATGGCACGATTTACTTCATATTTGTAACAATATACAGAAGACAGACAATATACTATATAAGACATACAATATTGTGTGGAATCCAGAAGACTACACATATACAGGCAATGTTACAATAAGAGGATAGATGACTCACCTCATTTGGAAAGAACTCTTCCATGAAACCAGATAAGAGAACTATACCATATTCATCAGGGTCCAGCTTATTCACCATTATTTTTACACTGAAAAAGAATTAAAGTGATATAATCATTATGCTACATAATGTATGATATGAGTCCCATGTGACGTACACAACACATGTGAACTACACTGTTTACATGAAATTTAAATATGTACTGCAAAATTACATTGTTACTTCGAAATTACAAATTTCCGTAATTAGGTAGTTAGAATGCTTAACCTTATGAAAGTCGTTTTTTGTCACCTATCATGAAATAGAACCCGTTGGTCAAAAATAATCGAAAAGCACTTAAAAATGGGCAAAATGTTGGGAAAAAGATGGCACTTCAAGGTTAACTCTTATAATGTTATACACAATAATAATGTGATATTATTTTATGTACTTACTACTCTGGTTCAGATACAAGCTCTAAAGCTCGCATTACATCACCTAATAGACACCCAGCTATAAAACCACAGTCTTCAGGATCATAACTATTAAATATTCTTCTTGCTTTAGACCAGGGACTTTCCTGTGCAACTAGTGATATTTCCTGAAATTATATAGCATCTTGTGTTAAATGAATATATATTAAAAAATAAGACAATTGAACATATCCACACGAAATGAACAAATCTGAGAGAGAACCACCCAAGGTAAGAAGTAAAGTTGACGACAGCGACGACGGACAATCAGTAATACTATAAGCTTTGTTTCTGGTTTAGAGAATTGTTAAAAATGTATATTTACCTTTGAAAATACTACAGTAAGATGTGTTTCACTTCCCAATAACCAGATAGGATATCGTGGATTCTTCAGATACCAACCAACCTGGAAGAAAGTATCATTATCAGCACTGATACTGAGACAAAATACGCATTAGAGAGTACATAACAGTAAAAATTTCAGTAGTAAAAGAAGGAGTAAACTTACTTCACAATACCTAAGATGCTCTAATAAAGTAAGAAATCCTATAGAAGTTTGTTGAGTAATTCCCTTTAATTCTGCAGAGTGAAAAATTAACAGTTATCATATGGTAAATTTTGTAGATCAAGAGTTCTCTCCAGAGCCTTTCAGAATAGCCCCTCTGAACACTGTGATGTTCGATAAACAATAGGGCTTAATTATCGTAACAATGAAAACAATCGATTTGTTATGCAAATTTGCCAATACGCTATGCTATTTTTTTTGTCCTTATTAAAGAGAATAAAGTTGAATGGTCATAATAAACTTCAGGTGTTAAAATGTGACACATGGAAAGTTATTTTGGCATTAATAAACATGACATCAGATTATTAGAGTATTACTCTGTGAAAGAAAACAAGATTGTGAGATAATCTCTGACAATGACATGATAATGAATGAGACAAGTTCAAGTCTATTGAGTACTTACTGAGTCCAGAGATTTCCTTCTCATTGTCCCACACATTAGACACTGAACTTCCAGTTAACATAAGATTAATGAGACTTTGACTGAAATAAACATAAAAAGATCGTCAACCAAATACTCCTGAAAAAGATATTTCTTAGGGAAAATTTAACTGTTTGCAGCCAGGGATACATCTACAGATATTTTAAAACAATAATATTCATTGCAACATATTCATTCATTTATGGAGCTGTTCATTTAAATACAGTATATACAAATGTGTATATTGTATTTAAATAAACAAATGTATCCCTAGATACACTGCTGTCAACAAAGTCATGTAATTATTAAGAAACCTAAATATTTCCAAACTCAAAAGGCAGCTATACCCTGGATAAGCTTGACGTAACAGTTAAATACAGTAGAACATGAATTGGGAAAGTTTTGACCAATCACAAATCGCTATAGTCTGTCTGCTACGTCAGTACTTTGCCAAATAGTGTGTGGTACCTGCTTTGCAAATCTAATTGTCACTTTTCAATTTGAATAAGACTGACGGTAAGATTTATAAATATTTATATAAATATATTTATCAGTATAAACATGTGTTTGTTGACTCCAGCGAATATATTCATCCTAACTTGTACAGTTCACAAACCTTCCATGTCCATATGTGCAATCAATTAAAGGCTCATTTGGATCTTCTTTTTCATTTCTAATATTTTCTATACCCTACAGGAATGAAAGTGAATATATTATTAGGAGAGTGTGATCGTTTGCATCAATGGACAGCCAGAAATAGTTTAGTTTTCATAGACAGCTTACCTTTGTTAGTAAAACAGAATAGAGAAATAATATAACACCAAAATAACCGGTATACATAGAATACACAGACTGTAATGCATGATGCACTTCTTCAATACCATCAAACTGTTGTAACCTGTGACAAGGATGAAATAAGATTGTATAAAATGTATCTAAATAATATTACTATTGTGCATACTTTCTCTATGTTATCCGACATAATATCTTGTACTAATGGTCAACCAAACTCCACTGACCCCGAGTTTCAAATGTAAAATAATATACAAACTATTATATACTTAGGTGTTCACAGAATTGAGAAGTGAAATTAACATATGAACAAAATGAAAAATGTATGAAATGATATTTTTACACTGAGAGTGACTGCTTTATCGTATGATGGGTGTGAGTATGAAAGTTAAAAGGTTGCTAGGAGTTTAAAAACTATGATAAAACAAGCCAAATTGAGCACAGTACATGTACACATAAAGATATACTAGTAAGAAATCTATCTATCTCTCAATATATATGGCAATTCATTATCATGATAATAGTGGAAAGAACTAGACAAGCAAACTTTGTTATTTGCAGAACAACAATGTGAACTTCTAAAATGAAGTCACACAATACATTACCTTAAAGAGCTATGGAAAGTTGCATGATCCGGAGGAGCTTCAGCACCTTCTTCAGTGTAATTTTCAATAACTGAGTGTTGTTTATCACCTTGTACTACAACTATGTATCTATCTGTTCCTACCATTGCTAACATTTCACTTAATGAACATATAAGTAATTCTTTAATTTGATCACCTATTAGCAGAAGACAAATAAGATTAATGACGTTGTATTCAGTCACAGTGAGGTAAAGTTTTGCCTTTATCTAATCAAGACAATATGGGGAAGAAATGTATTGACTCCATATTGTATTTTGCTAAGGATTGAGGGATAGAAAATTGAACTATAGAGGGAGCTGAGGGGTCATATTTTTCAATACAGCCCAGTGCTAAAATTTAATGAAAACAAATAATTATAATGTGTATTACACATGTTGTCTACGTTACGTTCGGCAGACCACAATGTGTTCTTGTAATTTTTTAGCAGTTTCAGTCCTTGTGGTAACCTCATAATTTAATTTTTTTTAAATTCTTGTTTTTTAAAGACAAACTGAAAGACATTTAGAAAAGTAGTGTAATTGTTGCACTTCTAATAGTAGTACTATTGTTCAAGTGCTACAAATACAACATAAGTATCATTAATTTTTCTTTTTATTATTAACCATTTGCTAACAAGATCCTGAGAAGACTGAAGATTTTGTGTATTTATCATGAAAATAACTATATAACCATACCTTCTGTATGTCTCCATTCATCACCATTTTCAGAAGAAAATAATACATTTTTCAGAATAAAACTTTGAACTGGGGCAATGACAGCACATGGACCACCTTCATGCTGCAGAAGCGCTGTAACTTCATCTTCACTGAATACAAAGCCTAAGTTAAAAAAGAAAAAACATATGTAAAATATAAGGAATAGTGTCATGCCTCAACACGGTGATAGATTCATAAATTCACTACATGTACCTGCATTCAAATTACTTTCTAATCCCACAAGACCACAAAATCCACAATGTGTGTCTCATGTACCTCAAAATTATACATGTACCCCTCCCCAGAAAATTGCCTCAGGGTTGTGGCTAATTTGCATATTAATTTGCATACTAATAAACATAAAGTACAGTTATAATTTTTTAAATAAGCAAGATTTACTGTATATAATGAAACACATTTAATTAATTAAAATGAGATACATTGCCAAAAATATATTAGTTAATACTATAACTAGGAATCCATCATTAAATTGAGAATTACATGAATTTGAACCCCTCTCTCCCATGAACACAACGGATACAAGCTTCACACTTCCTTTCAGTCTGCTAAAAAGTGTCAATTCTGTTTTTTGTTATGTTTAACATGTTACTTAATGAACACCAGCAATAGTAAATGTGCGTAACAGATTCACAATAAAACTTAAAAGATTAGATCAGTCAAGGTGGGATTTCTTCAGCGTTGTGATCAAACCATCAGCATTGAGGGCAAGCTCTTAGAGTAGCGACGTTAATCTTGGAATAGCAGCCCTAAAATGTTTAGGGGTAAGCACTAGTACACAAAAAGATCAATCATAATCATATCAAACTATGATCCTAAAATACATCAAATTGCATGATAAAGCCCCAAAATATGCAACACAAATGTTTGATTGTACACAAAAATGCCTAAAATATGACCCATTCATGATCCCACCAATACGGATCTCACTATATACTACCTCCTCTTCTCCACATTCATTGCATGAACACTAAACTGACAAGTACATGTAGTGCACCGACAGTACAGTATTAATTATTTATATAAACCAGTATACATGTGGTGTTGGCATGGAAAAGTGGTAGGTTATATACTGCACATTTA